AGATGCTCCGTGGGGCCTCCTCGGAGCGCGCTCGTAGGCCTCTGGGGGGCAGTTTTGGGGCCTCTTGGGAGTATCTCGGGAGCCTCTGGGGAGCCCCCTGGGGGGTCCGTTAGGGGGCAGGAGGAGATCCCCAGGCAAGCTGAACAGATTCTCGTGCGGGGTCTCACCGTCGGAGTAATCCCAGCTGGGAGCCTCTTGGGAGCCTCTTGGGGGCCTCTTGGGGCCTGTTGGGGGCCTGTTGGGGGCCTCTTGGGGGCCTCTTAGGGTCTCCTGAGAGGCCATCTCTGGCGTCTTGGACCGCTTATTCGGCGATTCGGGGCCCTCTTGGACCGTCCTGGGGGCCTCTTGGGCTGTCTTGCCCCAGGACACCCTGGGGGGAGGATGGTATTCTGACCTAGGGCCCCCTCCAGGACCCCCGGGGGACCCTCCCCAGGACCCCTCCCCCTGGAGAGAGATCACAGGGAAGGGGCTTCCCTTCCACTCAACTACGACGCTGGTCATTTTCGCTTTGGTTTCGCTTTGGCTGGCTCGCTTGAGGAGGATGGCCCAGCGATAGGGGGGAAGGCAGCGGCGACGGGCCCAGGGGAAGGGGGGTCAAACGCGACGACGACGACGATGACGACGCCGCCGACGACGACGACGACGACGACGACGACGACGACGTCGACGCCGACGACGACGACGACGACGACGAGTCAAACAGAACAGCGCCTTCCACACGCCGACAGGGTTCGTGGATTTGTTGCCTCTGGGGTTCTCCGTCTCCACATCTCCTCTTCAGGTTGCAACTCCTGGGGGGTTGAGTTTAGCATCGGCCCTGGTATAACCTTGATCGAAGCCTGGACTGATCCTGTCTAATCTGGCCGAACCCGTGGCTGAATCCTTGCCCTCATATGGCCTGGTTGCCCCTCGATGTTGCGTCGTAGTCCCCAGTCCTTCCACGAAGACCCCCAGGAGTGGCCTCAGCCCCACCTGGCCTCCTGCACGAAACCCGCATCACGTTTTCAGCCTGCCGTGGCTTCGACTTTCCACTCGCCCCCCCCGCGATCGTGCTCCCAGGCTGTCTGCCCCGCAGAGGGCACCTGCACAGTCCACCGCCGTGCCCGGCCAGGTCCCGCAGGATGGTGCACAGATCTCCTGGGCCCTGGGGCCGGGGCCGCGCCGCGTCGGCTCGGTGGTGACCCCAGCGTGGGCGGATGGGGGCTGAGCGCCGGCGGCGGCTCACGATCGGTCGATGTCGAGCGATCCGCGCTGTCGCAACGCTGCGATCCGTGCAGGGTTGGGCGATGAAGCCGAATTGAAGTCGTCACGGCACGAGCCTGCCGCGCAGGCATCCTCTGCGCATCGCGAGGCGCGAGGGCAGGGCGGCCCAGCGCTCGTCCGCCTGCGCAGTCGAGAGGGCCCCGGGCTCCCTGCGGGCCCCGCGGACTCCTTCACCGACGGGCGCTCCTACGTTGGCCAGTGGCGCGAGGGCCAGATGTGCCCCCTGCCGCGTCCGAGCGCGCCGGAAGGGCGAGGAAGGAGGAGCTGGTCGGTCGGTCGGTGGGACGTCGCTCGTCTGGGTCCTCCTCCTCCTCGTACTGCGTATTCCCCCTCGTCCTGTCAGTCCTCGTCCAGGGGCGCGAGGGCCAGATGTGCACCCTGCCGCGTCCGAGCGCGCCGGTAGGGCGAGGGAGGAGGAGCTGGTCGGTCGGTCGGTGGGTCGTTCGAGGGCCACGAGCGGTTCCGCCCGCCGAGCTCTGCCAGCGGGGTTTGGGGGGGTTTGGGGACGTGTTGGTCATTGAAAGTAGGTGCCTCTGGATTCCCAGGGCCTGATCTACTTCGGGCGCCTTCCTACTTCGATCATCGACATGCTTTTGTTGTTCTTTGCTATTCTCTGGGCGGGCCCGAACCCAGTCTACTTTATCCGCCTTCTTACTTCATGCTTCCACCTACCTCTGACTGGCGGGTGCGTCTCAGATCAAAGGACAGCCCGCCGTTTGGGCCCCATTGCCAGCCCCAACGTCGAGCAGAAATCGGGCGTAGGCCAGCAGGACTTGCGAAGGGTGTGTGCCACCCGTGTGGCGCACAATTGGTTGCGCGATCCGTGGGTTGCGCCACAGGGTGCGTCATTCATGGGTTGCGCCATACATTGGTTGCACCATGCTCTGTCCATGGGTTGCGCCATAAGTCGCGCCCTCGGCGGCCGAGCGTAGAACGGCCTGCGGTTGCGCGCTCGGCGGCCGATTCCAAAACGACCTGGCTTTGGTTGCGCCGTAGCTCTCGCTCTCGGCGGCCAATAACACGGTCTGCTATGGGTTGCGCTGCAGTGCACTCTGCGGCCGAGGCCGATATGGAGTCGGCCGTCTATTAGTTGCGCCTCAGGTTGCGCTCTCGGCGGCCGAACGCCAAATGATTGCCCAACGGGTGCGACCAATCAGTCAGTCAGTCAGCACAGCTTACCTCGCGAGGAGCAAGTGGAGCTCGCAGAGCGAGAGCCACGACGGAGGCGGAAGCCCGTTCAAAATGCCAGGGGGGTGGGGGGGGCGTTTGGACCGCGCGTCCGCTGACGTGGGTGGGGTGGGGCGCAGAAGCCCACGTTTGCCTCTCGGGTGCTGCTGGGGCTCTGGCGTGGTGTTCGGAGAAGTATTTCCGAGGGTCGGACAGATTTTCTCCTGACCACGCGCGGCCATGCCGATTCACAGCGTGTCGGGAAGGTCCACACCCATTCCACCCGTCATTCTGTAGCGCAGTCGTGCTACATGTGGACCACAGTGGATCATCATTGCGCACAGTGCCATTCAATGCGTTTTTACGCACCCCCTACAAGCGGAACCGGGCCCAAACCAGGCCTCAAGCGAAACCGCGCCCAAACCAGGCCAAACCGGGGCCGAACCTGCCAACGTTTTGAAGACGTTTCAAGCGAAACCGAGCCCAAACCAGGCCAAACCAGGGGCCAAACCAGGCGGATGTCGAGGATCTATCGGTCGGGGCGCGTTGCGAAACCAGGCCAAGTCAAGGGCCAAACCAGGCAAATTTCGAGGACGTCCTAGGCTGAATCGCCCAAATCAGGCTACATTCGATCTCCTTAATCAAGTTTCTTGCAGGAGTGGATCACCCCAGGGCCCCCCCGGCAGACGTAAGCTCGTTTAGAATTTCACAGGGCGGGGGGGCGTTTGGACCGCGCGTCCGTTGATGCGGACGGGGTTGGGCGCAGAAACCTTCATTTGGCTTCCAGGTGTTGTATGGGCTTTGGCGTGGCGGTAGGAGAAAACTATCCGAGGCCGTAGATGGTCAACGTTTACACGGTTGCTCATATTGTATTGTGGTCGCGCTGCCCGGAGGGTTGGGGGCGGGCCGATTTTGGTATGTGGGCGCTAAGTGCCGCGGGCGGTGCGGGGGGGGCGATATTTCCCGTTGTGGTCTACGCCTCGCAGGAGAATGGAAACGATCATTTTGTATCAGGGGTTGCAGGTCGAAACAACACAGGGGGAGGTTCGGCGTTGCGTTAGAATCTGATATGGGGTTTTGCGTTGTATTGGGATTATTGGCATTTCACTGCCATGGTTCACATAGCCCCGCGTCGCTTTGCACTGCTGTGCGTTGCTTGACGTTGTGCCGAATTGCTTTGCGATGCTCTAGTTTGAATCAGCCTGGCCACTTCAATTTGGCTTCCCAATCGTTTTAATACCAGTGCTTCTCGTCGAGACGTTTAGGGGATTCTCTGAGAGTGAACTGGGACCCTCAGGATCGAAGATAAAGGTTCGATCGAAGATGGAAGTGCGGTGAATGGTTTGTCGATGGTGTCCCTAAAAGTTTTTCAATGGTGTGTATAAGATATTTTTTGTCGGTTGGCGTTCTATAGTTCCGTGAGTTTCTTGAGGATTCATTCGGATTCCGGAAGATTCATTCCTTAGGATTCCCGCCGATTCCCGAAGGATTCTTGGAGATTCTTGCGGATTCCTGACGAATTCCTGCATGTTCGAGGATTCGTCTGCGATTCCTGAGATCCCCCGAGGATTCCTGGAGGATTCCCGTGGGCTCCTGAGGATTCCTGGGGATACCTGCCGTTTCCTGAGGATCCCTCAAAATTGCCGGGGGCTCCGTGAGGATTCTGGAGGATTCCTGAGGGCTCCTGAGGGTTCTTGAAGGATGATTGAAGATTCCTGAGTTCCGGATGGACTCCTGAAAATTTCAGAGAGATTCCTAAAAGATTATTGAGGATTCCCCAGGGTTTTGGAGGATTCGTGACGATCCCTGATGTTTCTGACATGATCCCTGAAGGTTTCTTCAGGATTCCTGCAGGTTTCTGCCGATTCCTGTAGAATCCCTGAATCTTCCTACAGGGTTCCTGAGGACCTTATGAGGAAAGGGTTCCTGGAGATCTTGGAAGGATTTCCGAATGATTCTTGAGAGATCCTCGGATCCCAGGATTCCGGAGAATTTCTACATGATTCCTGAAGGATTCCTGGACAATTTCTGTTGATTCGGAAGATTCGAGCGGATTTCTGAAGATCCCAAGGAGATTCTAGATTGATTCTAGAGGATTCCTGAGATTCCTGAGCCCATCCCCCAGGAATTAGTTAATACATTAGGGTGTTACCGATATCGCTCATCTGTCTCCCCCCGCGAGGATTATTTTGTTATTTTTGGTGCTACGGGTAACGGGGGGGACCGATAATGGGTTCCCAAGGTTTTTCCTCAAGGCAAAGGATTCTAATGGACCGTGGGACACGATGCTGGGCCATACCGGGAACGCACATGGTTCTCTTTGCGACGTGTGTGGAGGTGACCCGAAGACGGCCAGGCCACTTTCTGCGAACGGAGGTCTGGTACCTAATGTGGCTACAGGCTTTGCGTAAGCGTATCAGTCAGGGGCGTGTTCGAAGGGCTTGAGTGTCGGAACCGGACGTTCCCCCGACGCGCCGTGCAGCTGCAGGCGGTCCCCTGTCGCCTTCACGAGACACCCCTCACTGGGGAGGGGGGAACGTGGTGGTCGTGCTGGTGGCCCCCAGAGCGGTGCTGAACTGGATGAACACAGGAGTCGGGCTGGCTTCCACGGTTACCAAATACACATGCGATTCAGAGCCTGGTCGGTTGTACCTGTGGATGGGACGACCGTGACGACCCCCAGATGCCGTCTCCTCCCTAGGGACACGGACGGCGGCATTGCCATCTTTGGCAGCATATTGCCCTCAGTTCTGAGACTCATAAGTTTTCGAGCAATTTTGGCCCGATTGTCCTTTTCCATCTTCACTGCCATGCCCAGTCCAAGAGGAGGGAAAGAACTGATTGAGTCGGCGCGACAGCGGCATGTTTGCTGGGAGACGGTGCTTCAGAAACTTGAGGGAGAGTCAGCTCTCTGGCATTCGACGGACGAAGATCGGCGGCGAGCGAGGGGGGGAAAGGATAAGGAGAAGGCCTTCTCAGAAGGTGGTGGGACTTCTCAGAAGCTCTATGGCCTTCTGAGAAGTTTTTGTTGTCTTCGGGGAAGGCTCTCAGAAGGCCAGGGGACTTCCGAGCCTTCTCAGAAGGCCTTCTCCTTCTCACTTCGCCCTCTCGCTCGCCGCCGAGAAGAAGGTTGTTCATTGCTGCATTTCGCGGCACTATCAGGCGCAGGGCACTTCGCCAGCCGGTGGCTGGCCGTCGGTATGCCGCCAGATGTGTGCTCTGCGAGCGGACAGACGCCTCTGATGTGGGGCGTCACGAAGGGTCATGTCGCTGTCTGCAGGGTGCTGCTGGATGCCCGCGCAGATCCTGGGCACCAGGACAAACAAGGTGTCACACCGTTTGTCTTGGCAGCTCAGCATCAGCAGCACGGACCGTTTCTCCTCTTGACCAGCCGTGTGCTACCCGAGAAGCTTCTCGGGGAGCGCGATGCAACGGGTTGCCAAGCGGCGCACTGGGCAGCCTATCTGGGCAATTTGGACAGCCTGCGGTTGCTTGCTTACTTTAAGGCCAACTTTTCAGTTGTGGACGACACTGGGTGCACACCGTTGCATCGAGCTATCATGAACAAGCAGACTGCGGTTTTTGGTTTTCTCTTGGGCAATAAGGCAGACCCTGCGCTTCTAGATAACAAAGGAAAGTCTTGCATGGATATCGCGAAGCAGCATAACGATCAACGCACTCGCCGAGTGTTGGAGAAGTTGTTGGACTCGAGGCGCGTCAGTATTCTGGAGGCTTGCAAACAGTTCCTGTTTGTACGCAAGTACATGCTATTTTGGTGGCTCTCCGTTACATTGTGTGTTTCTCAGTATTTCTATGTGCTGCGAGATTACGGCCTGAGTAAACTTTCTTTCTCTGTTTTGCTCTACGATATATGCTTGCCGATCATGCTGGTCTCTTTCGTGTGTTCATCCGTGCTAGATCCAGGAACAATGCCAGCTCGGTTAGAGCAGTTTTCAGGCGTGGAGGATGTCATGGCTGCTTTCAATAATCATGACATTATAAGTGCGGCCGCAAACTTAGAGCGACTGTGTTTCAGTACTTGGGTCATTAAAGGGCTTCGCACCAAATACAGCTCATCGGCTGGACTATGTGTTGATGAATTTGACCATTTTTGTGTATGGATGAATTCACCAATCGGCCGCGGTAACCATCGAGTATTTTTCTTCCATGCCTATGCTCAATTTCTGGTTCTGTGGTGCCACTTCCATCTTTGTTTCAGCTGGGCAGTTTCGCTGGCCGGGGATGTAGCAAATCAGAACGTGGTATCTTCTATGCCGTACTTGTCATTGGCAAGGGGCTATCCTTTGCTTGCTGCATCCTCGCTGGTTTCTTGGCTTGCTCTGCTGTTCGTTGGGAGCCTTGTCGTGAATCAGACATTGGGCATACTCCTCAACATGACAACGAACGAGTTTATCAATCTCGAGCGATATAAGCATTTCTGGGAGGCGCCTGGACAGACAAACGCAGGTGAATGTCGTGTCTTCACGAACCCGTTCGACAAAGGCTCGTTCTGGCTGAACTGGCTGGACTTCTGGTGTGTGCGACGGCGGCGTGAGACGGGGCCGCAGAGAGCGACGCGCAGCGTGCCCTGGACTCTGTGGTGCGTGCGCTCGGGCCTGGTGCTGCAGACGCGGTGGGGGCAATGCAAGCGGGACGCTGTGCTCTCTGCGAGGGCGCTCGTGCTCCGACCGAGAAAGCGAGCCTCTGAGCATCTGCCCTGAGCGCCGGCTGGCGCTGGTCATTTCTGCGATGCGCTCGCGAAGGTAGAGTTGGCACACAACGCAATATCATCGGCTGCATTCACCCTCATCCGCTCCCACCTCATCATGACCCCGACCACGACCCATGCATGCAGTATCAGCATTTGCCTCATCGTCCGCGTCGGTGTCAGCATCAGCAGCAGCGTCTGCGTTCACGTCTGCAGCATCATCAGCATCATCAACATCATCAGCATCATCAGCAGCAGCAGCATTAGCATCAGCATCAGCATCAGCATCATCATCATCATCAGCATCAGCATCAGCATCAGCATCATCATTAGCATCAGCATCAGCATCAGCATCAGCATCAACATCATAATCAGCATGAGCATCAGCATCAGCACCAGCATCCGCATCAGCATCAGTAGCAGCATCAACATCAACATCAACACTAACATCAAGCAACATTAACTAAACAAAACGGCAGCAGGAGCAGCAGCAGCAGCAGGATCATCGGCATCAGCATTTGCAGCAGCACCAGCACCAGCGCCACAGCGACCACTTCACTCACGTCCACCGCCGGTCTCTCTTGGTGGCTCTCCAGCCTTTCTCGGGGCGTCAACTCGGGGGCGGCAGTTGGGAGAAGGATTCCGGGGGCGATGGTAGTGCATCACTTCCTTCGCCTCTTCTTCTTTTCCCTCCTCCTTCTCCTCCTCCTCGTCCTTCTCCAATTTCACTCTCTGAGTATTGCTATTCTCGCTCCCATGATTCTGTCCAGTAGATGTCCTGCCCTCTCCGTGTATTGTTTTTTCCACAGGGTTTAAAGAGTTTGTGTTTCTCAGGTGTCTTTCCTGTCCGACCGTGTTCGGTCCTTCAGAATGGTGCTCTCCGTGCAGCGCTGGCCTCATTTCCGCGTTTTCGGTCCTTTCGAAAGATGCTCCCGCTGCAGTCTCATTTCCGTGTCTTCGGTCCTTTTGACTGGTGCTCCCGCTGCAGCGCTGATTTCATTTCCGCGTTTCGGTCCTTCCGAATGGTGCTCCCGCTGCACAGCTGGTCTCATTTCCACGTTCTCGGTCCTTCCGAATGGTGCTCCCGCTGCAGCGCCGGCCTCATCTCCAAATTGTCGGTCCTTAATAGGTTTCCGGCTGTACCGTTCATGCAGCCATGGTCTGCAGTTCAATGCTATATTATCCTGCTGCCTACGGCAAGTCCCACCACCGTACCTCGGTTGTGGGGTATAGGACTCCTGGATGTTCGTTGGGATGTCGTGGGAGGCCTCTCGGGGGCCGGTTGGAGGCAGTTTTGAGGCCTCTTGGGCGCCGTCTGGAGGTCTCTTTGGGGCCTCTCTTGAGTCTCTTGGGGGTCTCTTGGAGGCCTCTTGTGGCTTTTTGGAGGCCTCTTGGGGCCTCCTGAGGGCCTCCTGGGGCGGAAGGCTGGAATTGTCGGTTCGTGTTTCCTTTCTTGGGCTCCTCTTGTTGTCGTCCTGGGGCTCCCTTCGGCTGTCTTGGGCGCCCTCTTGGGCCGTTTTGGGGCCCTCCTGGGCCGTCTTGGGACCCTCTTGGGGGCCTCTTGTGCCGTCTTGGGGAGGTCTTGGTGGGGCCTGGGGCCGTCTTGGAGCGTCGGAGGCTCGAAAAGGCGACAACGTGAAAAATATGGAAACACTGTCACACAATGAAGATCAATGAATTTTGCCTCCATGGGCCCTCTTGGAGGTCCCCGTGGAGCGCCCTTGGGGCTTCTTCGGGGCCTCTTGGGCACTCTTGGGGCCATCTTGGGCGTCTTGGAGCGCTCTTGGGCTGTCTTGGAGGCCTCTTCGTCTGCCTGAGTGTGATTCCTGGGCCGTCATGGAAGCTTGTAGAGCCTCAGGGAGTCGCCATCGCCGCCCAGGGACCCCCGGTAACAGGGGCGATGCAATCGGCTGGGCGCGTCCCGCGGAGGGGGGGTGTCCCTCAGAAGGCTACGGAAACCCTGCCGGGTAGCCCTTGACATTCTTCCACGCCTCCTCGTGCCGCAGCCACGGTGGCCGATGAGCCGCTATGATGCGATTCCATGCTTTGCTCTGCAACGCTGTGATATGCAGCGCTAGGCTACGCAGTGCCATGCCATGCAATTGCATGCTATGCAATGCTTTGTTATGTAATGTCAGCTTGTGATTAACAAATGGCCAGTCCCCTCCCCCCCCAAACGGCTGATGAATAGACCCCGCGGGGCGCGATACTTCTTCGAATCACGCGCGCCAGGGGGGAGGAGGAGAGAGGAGGGGGAGGGAGGAGAATAAGGAGAAGGCGGAGGACGAGGAAGAGGAGGAAAAGGCGGAGGAGGAGGAGGAGGAGGCCCGAACGACGAAGAGAGCGCCCGCTGGAAACGGGCGCAGGTAGGGCGGGGGACGGCGGCGACGACGGCAACAGATTGGGGGAGGAGGACTACCCGCCTTGCTCGGGTCGGACGAAAGGCTGGGGAAGGAAAGGAGGGGGTTGCGAAGCCTGCTGCGCGCAGTTGGTTTCGGTCGCCCCGCCGAAGGGCCAGTCCTCGACGCATAGCCGCTTTCGTTGCCAGGGGGTGCTTGGAAGATCGGCGACGTGAGCTGCTTGGCAAATCACCCTTTTGCTGCGCCCCACTTTCGTCCAGCCCGTTTTGCCCGCAGGCCCGCATCGGTTCGACAGAAAGAAAGGCACCCTGGCTCGCCCTTGGCTCCCGACCCCGTCCCCCTTGCCGCTCATTGGCGGCTGGGCGTCGGCGCCAATCACCGGCGCCGCCCCGTTGATTTTCAATCTGGCGGGCGCCATCCCGCGATTCGCCCGAGCAGGGGGACTATTTCCCAACCGTCTTGTGGTGTTGGGTCCTCGTTTTGAAGAGAGCGCTCCGCGTCCCTCCTCCTCCTCCTCCTCCTCCTCCTCCTCCTCCTCCTCCTTTCCTCCTCTTTCCCTCCAGTAGGACCGCCCGCATGCGTCATCCACCACCCAGTACAGCGTTTCGTCGCCCCATAGGGGGCTCCACCGAAGGCTCTACTGGGACCGCCCGCGTGCGCCATCCACCACCCAGTACAGCGTTTCGTGGCCATAGAGGGAGCTCCACCGAAGGCCCCAGTGGGACCGCCCGCATGCGTCATCCACCACCCAGCACAGCATGTCGTGGCCCCATAGGGAGCTCCACCGAAGGCTCCACTGGGACCGCCCGTATGCGTCATCCACCACCCAGTGCAGCGTTTCGCGGCCCCATAGAGGGCCCCGCCGAAGGCCCCAGTGGGACCGCCCGCGTGCGTCATCCACCACCCAGTACAGTGTTCCGTGGCCCCATAAAAGGGGGCTCCACCGAAGGCCCCAGTGGGACCGCCCGCATGCGTCATCCACCACCCAGTACAGCGTTTCGTCGCCCCATAGGGAGCTCCACCGAAGGCCCCAGTGGGACCGCCCGCATGCGTCATCCACCACCCACCACAGCATTTCGTGGCCCCATAGGGGGCCCCACCGAAAGCTCCAGTGGAAGCGCCCGCATGCGTCATCCACCACCCAGTACAGCGTTTCGTGCCCCATGAAAGGGCTCCACCGAAGGCCCCAGTGGGACCGCCCGCATGCGTCATCCCAGCTCAGCGTTTCGGGGCCCCATAGAGGGCCCCGCCGAAGGCCCCAGTGGGACCGCCCGCATGCGTCATCCACCACCCAGTCAGCGCTTCGTCGCCCCAAGTGGGGCTCCACCGAAGGGTCCAGTTGGACCGCCTGCATGCTTCATCCACCAGCCAGCACAGCGTATCGTGGCCGCACAGGGAGCTCCACCTAAGGTCTCCGTGGCGGAATTCGCATGGCGGCCCAGTGGCGGAGTTCGCATGGCGGCGACCTTTGATTTCCGGAGGTTTTCGTCGTATTCGACGTATTCAGGCCGCTTTCGGGCCGCGCATCCCGGGCGGGAGCCAGCCCGCTCATTCTCTTTGCTCCGCGCAGCGGACGACCCGCGCGCGTCGCCGGGACCCCTTCGGGGCGACCAGCGCGCGTCGCGGGGACTCCGCGCGGCGCCGCGCCCGCAGCCTTGGACGTGGGCGTGCACGGGCAAAGAGGGCGAAAAACAACGGGAAGGAAACGGGCGCGATCCTCGTGAGAGGCGTGCCGGCATGGGCGTCGACATTTATGCACGTAGACCGCGCGCAAATTCATCAACAATCAGACTCTTCGCTCTCAGTCTCTCGCGCACAAGCCTATCGTCTTCGCTCGCGTTGTGCGCCCCGCCACGCATGTCAGCTCGCACCTCGCACGGTTCCTGGCCCCATAGGGAACGCGGGCGAACATGATATTCAGAATTGCAGTATTCACATGTGCGTATGGTTGGGTTCTTCGCCAGGCAAACTTTTTAAACGCGCGCCCGCCCACGAAATTGTTAATCACGAGCTGACATCACCACTATGCGATGCCATGTGTGGCGCTGTAATGTTATGGCATTCAATGTTTGGCTACGCAATGCTATGTCATGCTATGCGTCGCATACTCTTTGGGGGTCGTTGTCCTTTTCGACGTATAAGTAGGAACTCTGCTCAATGGTATGGTACGTGAGGGAGGGGTAGGACGTCCGATATGGCGCGAGCGCACCAAACTTTTCTCGTAGCTCTCCTCCCTATCGTCCTCCTTCTCCTCCGCCTCCTCTTTCTTTTCCTCTTCGTCAACAAGTATTCAAGATGCGTAAGACTTTCGTTTCCACCGAAAATGGTTGGGACGGGTCCCATATATATATATATACACACATAATCGGTATAGGGAAACAATTCTTGACGCTTCGCGTATCCCCACCAGCCCATCCAGTAACGATGCCCAGGCGAATGGAGGTGATCAGGGAACTGATGGAGCATACAGTGTAGCAAAAGGCTGGGGAACCCGTCTTACCCAAGACGGCGAGGATGGAGGAGGAACCGGAGGAGGAGGAGGAGGAGGGGGAGAAATTGAAGGAGGAGGCGGGGGAGCGGGATGAGGGAGGAGGAGCAATATGCGGATGATGATGAGGAGGAGGAGGAGCAGGACGAGAATGAGGAGGAGGATGAGGAAAAGGGCGAGCAGAATGGCCAGAGGCCTCTTGGATGCCTCTCGGAGTCTCTTCGGATACCTCTTGGGAGCGTCCTGAAGGCCTCTTAGGGCGTCTTGGGAGCGTCTTGGCGGTCCCGGAGGCCTCTTGGGGCGTCTTGGGTCCCTCGGGGAGCCTCTTGGGGACCTCTTGGGGCC